ACTTTAGAGAGGCACCCAGAAGACTTCTAAGGAGGTGACATTTGGGCTGTGACTTGAATGATGAGAAGGAGCCAGTCACAAGAAGAACCTCAGGGGGAAGAGTCCAGGTGGAAGGTTAATACAGAAATCCCAGGAGGGAATGACCTTGGTGAGTGAGGCCAGCGTGGATGGAGTGGAGGGAAGGGGGAGAGTGTGGCGGCAACAGAGACTGCCTGGGCAGGTGGGAGCCAGGGAAGGCAGAGTCCTGAAGGCCAGGCTGAAGAAGCCGCCTCCTACGCTAAGAGCAATACGAGGCCACAGGAGAGATTTTAGCCAGACAGGACCGGAGTTGGGGAAACTCAGACTTTTGATGTCCATTTAAATCCCCACCTCAGGCCTCCTAAAAGAAGGGGTACGGATGTAGCATATGCTCCACCTCCTCGACACCAGAAAAAGAGCAATGGGACTGACTTTTCTTTTTTCTTTTTTTTGAGACCAAGTCTTGCTCTGTCACCCACTCTGGAGTGCAGTGGCATGATCACAGCTCACTGCAGCCTCAACTGCCTGGATTCAAGCGATCCCCTCCCTCAGCCTCCTGAGGCATGTACCATCGCGCCTGTCTAATTTTTGTATTTTTGGTAGAGATGGGGTTTCATTATGTTGCTCAGGCTGGTCTTGAACCTCTGAGCTTAGGCAATCTACCTGCCTCAGCCTCCCAAAGGGCTATGATTATAGGCGTGAGTCACTGCGCCTGCCCCAGTATTGACTTTAAACCCCAGTAGTACACTTAGTCATTGGGTCATCTAGGGCAAGTTTGCTAACTTTTCTGAATGTCACTTTCATCGTCTATAAAGAAGGATTATCATCTTATTCCTTTTTTTTCCCCAAGGACCCAAGGAGTCTCTCCATTCCCCAGGCTGGAGTGCAGAGGCATGATCACGGCTCACTGCAACCTCCGCTTCCCAGGTTCAAGCGATTCTCCTGCCTCAGCCTCCCGAGTAGCTGGGACTACAGGCGTGTGCCATCACGCCCAGCTAATTTTTGTATTTTTAGTAGAGACTGGGTTTCACCATGTTGGCCAGGATGGTCTCAATCTCTTGACCTCATGATCTGCCCACCTTGGCCTCCCAAAGTGCTGGGATGACAGGCCTGAGCCACCGCGTCCCACCAATCATCCTATTCTAATAATAAATTTTTATTATTAAATGAGTTAGCTCATGCTAAATACTTAGCAGTAGGCTGTATCTGTGGGGATCATTTGGGGTTTATGCCTTTGGTATGTGTCCTCCTAAACACCCCCAGACGGCCCCCCTAAACTCATGGATGACATCTGACTGGGGCGTGTGCACTTCTGCTCAGCCCCATCACGCACCCATCTTTGTTTGACTGTTAACTACCCTTTCCAGTCTGTAACCCTGATTCTACTCTCGCTTTCCTGAGAAGATCAAGGCCATCTGAGGCCAGTGGCCTCCACCTCCCTACTCTCCTCAACATCTCTGTGCACTGTTGCCCACTTTCTCCTTTTTTTGCTTCCATCTCAGAGAAATGAATAGCCCAGCGTCTTGCCTCGGCAGCCCTCACCCACCTCTGCGGTGGAGTCCAGGCTTTCCTGACTCCCCCCACACCCTGCTTTGCCAATGGCTTCTCTCTTTTGTATCTTTCACCTCTCTCCTTCTCTCTGTCTTTGATTCTTCCTGTCAGTCTCTATCTCTCTCCCTTTTTCTCTCCCTGTCTCTCTTCCTTTTTCTATCTGTCTCTGTCTCTCTCTTCCTCTCCATCTCTCTGTCTGTCTCTCATTCCCTGTCTCTGTCCCCCACCTTCTCTGTTCCTCTTCTTTCTTGGATTCTTCTTCTCAGTCAAAAAATACGTTCAGATCGTCTCTCCTCAAACAAACACACAAGACCAACTCTCCGTAGGCTCTCCCGCCGCCTTCAGCCGAGACTCTCCATCACTGCCCTCCCCAACCCAGGCGCTTTGCTCCTTCCATCCTGCTAGCCCGTTTCCTCCCAAGATGCCCCTAAAGCAGCTCTCTCCAAAGTCACCAGTGGCACCCCCTCGTCCCCTCCATCTGCCAGGCATCATCCTTCAGGGACCCTGCAGAATCTGACACAGTTGACAATCTTTGTTCTTCATGGGCTGTCCTTCCCCATCAGCCACGATCCTCTTATTTCTTCTAGTTGTCACACAACTCTGTCTGGGTCTCCTCCACTGGCGTGCTCCCTCTCTCTCTCTCTCTCTTTCTCTCTCTCTCTCTGCATAGGATAACCAAGAGCAAGACAGGCCTCCTCCCCTAATGGCCTCATTGCATGTGCTCTAGCAGGTCCCACCCAAAGCTCTGTTGCCCTTTCATTTTACATCTGGAATTCTCAATAGCCTTTGCATAGCTCCACAGAGATGATCCACTGGAAACTAAAAATCTGCTCCAAACTGAAATATTCTTTCTGCTTCCCCCACATATGCTCCTTCTCCTGCAGCCCATGTTCTTCTCAACTATCCAAGCTCAACAGAGAGCTCCAACTCGTCTCACCAGGCGGGCACTACCTTCCCAATGGTCTTTTTTTTTGAGTCAGGGTCTTACTCTGTTGCCCAGGCTGGAGTGCAGTGGCACAATCTCGGCTTGCCACAACTTTCGCCTCCTAAGCTCAAGCGATTCTCCTGCCTCAGCCTCCTGAGTAGCTGGGATTACAGGCACGCGTCACTACCACCCAGCTAATTTTTGTATTTTTCTTTTTTTTTTTGAGATAAGAGTCTTACTCTGTCACCAGGCACCAGGCTGGAGTGCAGTGGTGCGACCTCGGCTCACTGCAACCTCTGCCTCCCAGGTTCAAGCAATTCTCCTGCCTCAGCCTCCCGAGTAGCTGGGACTACAGGCACGTGTCACCACACCCAGCTAATTTTTTTGTATTTTTACTAGAGACGGGGTTTCACCACGTTGGCCAGGATGGTCTCGATGTCTTGACCTCGTGATCTGCCCGCCTCGGCCTCCCAAAGTGCTGGGATTACAGGGGTGAGCCACTGCGCCCGGCCTAATTTTTGTATTTTTAATAGAGACAGGATTTCACCCTGTTGGCCAGGCTGGGTTTGAACTCCTGACCTCAAATGGTCCACCCGCCTTGGCCTCCCAAAGTGCTGGGATTACAGGACTGAGCCACCATGCCTGGCCTCCCAGTGGCTTTTTGCTGTTTGGGTCCTACCATCCTCACCTGATGCAAGCCCTCACTACCTCTCTGTGGACCTCTGCAATGGCCTCCTGTCTGCCCTGCCACCTCCTCTCCTGCTCCCATCACTAACCCACCTGTACTGTCAAATGACTCTTCTTAGAGAATTCCCCTGGTTATGGAGTTTCCTATAAAAAACCTGCACTGACTGCACTGACTTCCTGGGATCTTCCAAGCAGGGTTCAGCCTGGCACTCTAGGTCCTCCATTTCTCCATGCGGTGGCTCTAACTCTCTCTTCCAACCTTCCCATCCCATCCAGACTAGGAGCTTTCTGATGTCCAGGCATTTTCCCCTGTCTGACCTCCATGGAGTTCCTTCTGCCTGGAACACTGCCTACTTGGAGCCCTACCTGCTGCAGTGCACCTTTGCCGCTCTCTGAACTAGACGCGCTCTCATTTCAGTTCCTAAATCACATTTTCCATCTCTCTCTTTTTTTTTTTTTTTTTTTTTTGAGATGAATTCTCACTCTGTCACCCAGGCTGGAGTGCAGTGGCATGATATCAGCTCACTGCAACCTCCACCTCCTGGGTTCAAGCGATTCTCCTGCCTCAGCCTCCCGAGTAACTGGGACTACAGGCCTATGCCATCATGCCTGGCTAATTTTTTTGTATTTTTAGTAGAGGTGGTATTACACTGTGTTAGCCAGGATGGTCTTGATCTCCTGACCTCATGATCCACCTGCTTCAGCCTCCCAAAGAGCTTGGATTACAGGTGTGAGCCACCCGCACCTGGTCCTCCATCTCTCTTTCATGAGCTATCATCTGGCTCCATCCCAATTGCTCGGCTGTTAGCAACCAGGAAGTAGAGGGCTCACCTGGCTCACCTTTGCATCCCTGGTAGTAGCCAGTATGAACCTCATGGGTAGTCAATTAATATCTGATGAAGGATGAATGAACCAAGTTGAGTCAAATTAGTCAAATGGAGCCATGACCTTTGTTAAAAAGTATCTTCTAAAGACAGGAAAATGCCATCTTCCCTAAAGGCAGTATGGGACAACTCTGGAGCTGGACAGACTGACTGAATACAAAACCTGACTCTACCCTTTACCAGCACTGTAACCTGAGCAAGTTTACAACTCTTGAGCCTCAGTTTCCTTAACTGCAACATTAGAACAATACCCAACATCACAGGAATGCTGTGAAGAACAAATGGGGCAAACACAGGTAAAATGGTGTAGTCCAGTTCCTGGAACACAGAGGGAACTTTAAACAGGGAAGCATTTCCTTGCTAGAAAGAAATGTGGTACAAGAATTGCTCTTCAAGTCATTCCATCAAAAAGACACCTAGATTTGTATGCTATCGCAGCGTAGTTCACAACTGCAAAGACATGGAATCAAACTAAGTGCCCATCAACCAATGAGTAAAGAAAATGTTTTACACACACACACACACACACCATAAAAAAGAACAAAATAATGTATTTTGCAGCAACTTGGATGGAACCGGAGGCCATTATCCTAAGCGAAGTAATTCAGGAATGAAAAACCAAATACTGCATGTTCTCATTATAAGTGGGAGCTAAGCCACAGGCACACTGAGACATACAGAATGGCATAATGGACAATTGTACCAGAGACTCAGAAGAGGGGAGGGTGGAAGGGGCTGAGGAATGAGCCTATTTGGTACCATGTACACTATTTGGGTGATGGGTACACTACAAGACCAGACTTCACTCTACAATTCATCTATGTGACCAAACCACTTGTACCTCTAAAGCTATTGAAATTTTTGAAAATTTTTTTTTTAAATTGCCCTGTCCTTCAAGGAGGGACCCAGACTGTATGAATGCAACCACTTCTGACCTGTCTCCAGTAGCAGCTTCACGATGGAGAAGTTGGAGTGGGACACACTGTAGTGAAGAGCCGTGTTCCCATTGCGATCCGCCAAGTTGACAAGCAGCTGCAGGAAGTGTGGGGAGTGAGGCTGGACCTCGCAGAGGTAGGCGGCCACCACGGCAGGGCTCGATGACTTCCGGCTGGAGACGCGGAACCACTCTTGACTGATGGTGTTCAGGCTTTGCCTCTGAAACCCCAAAAGAGACCAATTCCAAGAGGTTCCATGGCCAGCAAAGGTTCCTCCCTTACACAAGGAAAGCCGGCTTTGGCCTCTGTCCCTTCAGCTCCCTCCAGCTCACCATGTGACTTATTCCTGAAAGGCTCAGAGCTGGTGGGGTTAGGAATGCAGCAACATACTTTGTACTTGTGCGATCGCTCCCCTCTGGGAGTGGAAACGAGAATTGGGAGGATAGCGTAGTAACCACTAACAAGGTACTTAACTGGAGACAGTTTGAATCTGCGGGAAGTTCAGCTCATACCCCCGCTAAGAAGTTTAGCTCACACCCCCGGCATGCTCACAATTACAAAGGCCCTCTCCTTCCTGCTCACACAGCCAGCTCACACTGACCTTGCCCCAGACTCTACCAGGACTCCTGCGTGTTTTTAATAGGCATAGCTGGAAAATCGCAACATCTTACTAACGGGAAACATGCATGTGAAGACAAACAACATCCCCAAATGTATGCTTGAAATAAAACCCAAACAGGTGTGCTTGACATGTTTGGCTTTTAAGCTTTGCAAGGACCTTGAGAGTAAATGGTTTAACAGCCCACGGCAGACCCTGCTAACTGTAGCATTCAGCTCCTCCGGGACCACAAACGAGAAGCGTTCCAGAGCCGATGACATCAACTCTGTGTGTGACATGACCTCAGTGTTTAAAGGGTATTTACCTAACAGGGAGGAGAGGCTATTGGGAAGTGATTATGATAAATGACTTCATACTCATGCCGGGAAGAGTCCCGGACTTGGAGTCGCTAAATCAGTGTGACCTGGTTTAATCCCTGGCTCAGCCTTGTGAACTTGGAAGTCATACAATCTTTTTGAACTTTACTTATCCTATCACAAAATGGGAGTAAAAGGGGACTAGTCCTTTACCTTCCATAGCTCTACAGAGTGAGGTCCTTACACAACCTGCTTTTTCCTCTAAGGTCAGGGCAAGGGAGACGGTATCCTGCGCTTTGATTCTAACATGGGTGTGGTGCCAGGCTTGTATATCCTCTGATCACTTTTCTAGAGCAGAATTCATGGAATCTTTTGTGGTTGAAACACTTTTATAAATCAGAGTATCTCCTTTACCCATGGAATCTTCCAGAAAATCTGGAGAAAGATCCTAATATTAAGAAACAGAAGGGTGATTTTTTTTTCTGAGATAGAGTCTCACTCTGTGGCCCACGATGGAGTGCAATGGTGCGATCTCAGCTCACTGCAACTTCCATCTCCTGGGTTCAAGCGAGTCTCCTGCCTCAGCCTCCCAAGTAGCTGGCATTACAGTCATGGGCCACCATGCCCAACTAATTTTTATATTTTTAGTAGAGATTGGGTTTTGCCATGTTGGTGGGTCTCAAACCCCTGACCTCAGCTGATCCACCTGTCTCAGCCTCCAAAAGTGATAGGATTATAGGCATGAGCCACCAAGCCTGGCTGAATGGTGAACTTTGAATGAAGAACTAAGAAAGACTTTAGTTTGATAATTCAATTAAGAATAAGTGACAGGAGTTTTGATCAACATCCACATCATATATTTGTTCTTTCTTCTTCTTCTTCTGTTTTTGAGACAGGATCTCATTCCAATGCTGAGGCTGGAGTGCAGTGGTGCAATCACAGCTCACTGCAGCCTTGACCTTTGGGGCTCAGGTGATTCTCCCACTTCAGCTTCTGATTAGCTGGGACTCCGAGCACATGCCACCATGCCAGGCTAATTTTTTGTATGTTTTTTTTTTGTAAAGACAGGGTTTTGCCACATTGCCCAGGTTAGTCTCAAAGTCCTAGGCTCAAGCGATCTGCCCGCCTCAGCCTCCCCAAGTGCTAGGATTACAGGCGTGAGCCACTGCACCCGGCCCTACATATTGGTTCTTTAGAAAACAACAACAGCTAAGATATAACAAAAACGAGTTGGGTAAGTAATAAACCTGATGAATTGATTGTTTTTACTTCTAGGGGTCTTTTGCAAAGGAGAGCAAAACAGCTTTTAAAAATGCTTACGGGTTGTTCCACCATGGGTCTTACAACTGCTCTCATAACTTGGAAAAATGTGCCAATATCCCTTGATTATGAGTAGAATCTCTATTAGTTTAAATCTCTGTAGGCCATGAAGGTGTGAAGGAGCACATGCGTATTTTCTTGTTTTCGGTCTCTCAGCCCAGAAGTGCACTTCAAGAAAAACAGTCATGACTACAGAATTCAACGTCAGGGTTTAGGGGAATGGAAGCATGCCCTCCACCACCTTCATTTTATTGATGAAGAAACAGAGGCCCTGAGCATGGAACTGACTTGCCCATTATCTCCCAGGTGAGGTCCTGGGAATAGAACCTTCAGATCTCATTCCACATGTTTTTCCCACTCTGCCCACAGTCCTCTCAAACCACAGGGTTTGTGAGCCTAAGCCACAGAGTTTGATGACAGACACTTGTGGTGCATTGCCTAATGACTCGTGGGAGGTGACTCTGAGTCCCGGCCTGCTTTCTTGTGCATATCCATGGGTTCCACATCCTCAGTGTGACCCACCTCTGCAGGCTGTAGTGATCGGGTGAAGGAGAGAATACCCAGAGGAAAGGGGCTCTGGCCTGCACACTCACACCACTGCCTTACAATGCACACTCACACCACTGCCTCACACTGCACACTTACACCACTGCCTCACACTGCACACTCACACACACCACTGCCTCACACTGCACATTCACACACACCACTGCCTGACACTGCGCACTTACACCACTGCCTCACACTGCACACTCACACACTCACACCACTGCCTCACACTGCACACTCACACACACCACTGCCTCACACTGTGCTCACACCACTGCATCACACTGCACACTCACACATACCACTGCCTCACACTACACACTTATACCACTGCCTCACACTACACACTTATACCACTACCTCACACTGCACACTTACACACTCACACCACTGCCTCACACTGCACTCACACACTCACATCACTGCCTCACACTGCACACTCACACACTCACACTACTGCCTCACACTGCACACTCACACACTCACACTACTGCCTCACACTGCACTCACACACTCACACTACTGCCTCACACTGCACACTCACACCACTCACCACTGCCTCACACTGCACACTCACACACTCACACCACTGCCTCACACTGCACACTCACACACTCACATCACTGCCTTACACTGCACACTCACACTCACACCACTGCCTCACACTGCACACTCACACCACTGCCTCACACTGCACACTCATACACTCACACCACTGCCTCGCACTGCACACTCACATGCTCACACCACTCACACCGCACACACACACACACACACCACTGCCTGTCTCACACCACTGCGAGGGACCAAAGTCACCCTGGCGGAGCTAACGTCTTAAACAGAAGAGAAATCTTTACATGACAATGAAAAATCAGAGTACCAGGAGCTGGTCTGTGGTGGTCCCAGTTTCCGGCAGACGCTGGCTCAGTGCCCGGCATGCAGTAAGAAATTCTTCTGACGGTTTATATCTAAAGAAAACAAATACACATACACATATTTATATAATCATTCTTCATGTTGATAAACAAGACTTTCACTCTTTTCCTCTTTCTCAGCAGCTCAAACATCCAAACCAGGCAACTGCCCTAGGACGGGGCAACCTTCAGAAATCTGAGTGACCACGGTATGTGCCAACGTGAGCAGGCTTCTGAAGGCTTCTGACGATGAGCCAGTGTGCTGCCCACTTCATCCTGCTTTTGTCAGGGGCTGGGATCGATAACCAGCATTTGGGTGGGGGATTTGTGGAGGGGGTGGTGGACAGGCCCAGCTGCAAGTCCTGGCCCACTGGGAAGGGGAGGGCTGTGTTTCTGACTTTGGACCAATCATTTTCTGCCTGGGTGACTGGAAAAAAAAAATCAAACAACCCAATCCATACCAGAAAATTCTTCAGGTCATTCTTCCATGAAGGACACCATAAGTACTCATAAACTCAGTACCATGAGACTCATTGAAGCTGAGGTGTCCACGGTAACAAGCACTCTCTCTGTTAGTCTGAAGGCAGGCTCAGCACCAAGAGGTCTCAGGAGGGGCTTAAGGGCACTGGACACAAAGAAACCCACTCACTTGGCCTGTCCTTATCTTGCCACCATGTTGGAGCAGCCCTGAACTGGGTGACAGTCATCTCCCATCCACGTTCACCACCCCTTCAGCAGCCAGGCTGGAGATGCTGATAGTGATGATAATGGTAATAACATCTTGTTTCTACCATTTACTGAGAGTCTTCTTTGTGGGAGGCACTGTGCTAGGCATTTACTTGCTTTTTCTCATGTAGTTCTCAGATCAAACCTATCAGGTTGCTATTATGCACATTTGACAGATGAGGAAACTGAGGGACCCACGGCTCAAGGACTTTGCCTAAAGTAACACCGTGGCAGAGGCGGGACTTGAGTCCAGGTATGGCTGACTCCAAAGACAGTGCTCTTCTCATCCTGCTGCATAACTTCCCATCACTTTACTTTTATTATTATTATTGTTATTTTGAGGCAGAGTCTCACTCTGTGAGTGAGGCTGGAGTGCTGTGGTGCGGTCTTGGCTCACCGCAACCTCTGCCTCTGGGGTTCAAGTGATTCTCCTGCCTCAGTTTCCCAAGTAACTGGTGATTACAGGCGCACACCACCACGCCTGAGCTAATTTTTGCGTTTTTAGTAGAAACAGGGATTCACCATATTGGCCAGGCTGGTCTCGAATTCCTGACCTTGTGATCTGCCTGCCTCGGCCTCCCAAAGTCCTGGGATTACAGGTGTGAGCCACCGCGCCTGGCTACTTTTATTATTTTTTCTTAAAAAAATGTATTTTAACTAAAATAGACACAGAGTCTTGCTCTGCTGCCCAGGCTGGTCTCAAGCTCCTAGACTCAAGGGATCCTCCCCCTCAGCCTCCCAAAGTGCTGGGATTACAGGTGTGAGCCATGGTGCCTGGCCGCTCCCATCACTTTAAAAGGCTGTGTTATGCCAGCATGGTCAATGTGACAGGCTGAAAAGCTTGTGGGTAACAATCAGAAGGACGGGGGCTGGGATCCCTGCTCTGCTAGCTGTGTCCCTGCACTTCCCTAAGCCTCCGTTTCCACATCTGTAGAGTGGGGAGGTCACAATAACTTCTACCTTGCAGGACAGTTGAAAGGAGTATATAGGATAATACTTGTAAAGTCCTTCACAGTTTCAGTGCCAGGTAAATGTTGACTTTGTACATAGACCTCTGGCTGTGACAGTACCTTCCACGAAGGCAGGAGCCACACCTGCTTTGTTTAACCAGAGCACAGTGTGGGCATGAAAAAGAGACTTAAATAACATGGGTGAAGGGATGGGTACATGAATGAACAAATGATTGCATGCACGGGTGGATATATGCCCTTGCCCTTTTTCAAAGGAACAAGTGCCCCTGTTTGTGTCCATTTGCTCACCTCTCAGCCTTGGAGTGGGAGACCTCTTCCCCAGGCCCACTTTCCTGGGTGGCATAGCGGGAACCCTCGGGGATGCCCTGCCCAGCCTCGCAGGTGAGGTGGGCATCTTTGACATCCCTGTGGTCTGGGCCATCACACTTCTTCTCAGCCTCACTGTCAGACAACTCCTCTGGGGAGCTGTCCTCACCACTGGTCTCCTCACTTGAGGTGGTCTCATACCTGGGGAAGGAGACAGAGGTCACACTGGTCCTGTCTTTCCTGCCCAGTGCCTGTGCCAACACCAATGAGAGCTGGGTGGGCCTGGGGAACACTCTGAAGCTTGCTAATCTCCTGCCCCACTCTCTACACCTGCAGGCAGGGTGACAGGCTCCCAGGAATCTCAGTGTCAGAAAGACATGCAGTAAAGGGCCCTGGGAAGGCTATTTGGAGAGACTCAATTAACTGTGCTCACTGCAGCAAACCTACAAGCAGCCTGCCCCCTCACTGGCTGATGCATTCGGGTGATCCAGACAGGCCACCCAAGGTTCTCATGAAAGCATTTGCTTGTGGAATCTTAATGTTAGGTCCAGAGAGGGGTCCAACTCCAGGCCCCACCTCCTACCTGGGTTCACCAAGTTGCCTGACAAGTCTTCACATCTCTGGGTGAGAGTGAGACCTCCCTTTAGCCTGCGCCAGCCCAGCTTGCACCTGGCAAGGCATGAACTCCTCTGTGCCTACTTCCAGCACTCTGTGGGATACCCCAACACAGCATCTACTTGTCTTGGCTGCAGCCTGTTTGAACTATTGCTTAAAGCAGCAAAAGGGAGAGCATGGGCCACGTGACTTGCAGTCCTCTTTCCTGGTAGTGACCCTTGTGTTCAATTACAAGTGACTCTTCTGAGTTGGCAGACCAGAGATCATGGAGGAATGTCCTGGAATATGTATTGACTCTGCTACTGATGCTCAACAGGAGATCCCTGATGGAGAATGCTGGTGGTAAATGATTTCAGGCTCTTGGGCCACTGGACACAGCTACAGGGACTGGAGGCCATGGCCTCCACTGAACCCCCTAAGGACCCTTCTCTGAACGGTGGCCTCTACATAAAGCCCCTATGCCCAATGGATTTGCAAACCCTGTCTGCTTCCTGGTGTGCACACATTCTGCCTCACTTAAATCCCAGATATTTCTTCCTCTATTATGTATGGAATAACCTTTCCCATTTGTGATTAAGAGAGTGGAGAGCATATTACATTTACCAAGCAATGCTCATCTTAGAATAGCTTCCATAAAAACTTTGCTTGGAAGTTCACTTATTCATTCAGCAGGAATTTACTGAGCACCTACTATGGCCCAGGCACAGTTCTAAATCCTATACCAAAGTCCCTGCCCCAGTGGAGCTTATATTCTAGTATGGAGAGGCAGAAAATGAACATGTAAACAAATATTATATTCAGATGGTGATTAAAAACAATGAATAAAATAAAGAAGAGCTACGGGATAGAAGGATGGGAGGAGTGGCTACTTTAATTAGATCAGAAGTTCCTAACCTTAGTGGTTACATTAGAATCATTTGAAGGTGTTTAGAATTCCCAGTATGTGGACTGCACCCAGACTAATTAAAGGACCCAGACACTGGGATGTTTTAAAAGCTCCCCGGTGTTTCCAGCCTGCAACCAAGGCTCAGAATCGCTGCACTAGAGTAACAAACACTGAGGACTATCCAGGAGAGGAGGCCTTTAACAGGAAAACAGCAAGTGCCAGGGCCCTGAGATGGGCCCGAGCTCAGCCTGTTGGAGGGAGGGAAGAGACATCAGCGGCAGGGCCTAAGGCTGGGCAGAGTCATGATTGGCTCTTCCAGGTTTGGGTGCAGAGCAGGGACCGCTGAGGGCATTTAAGCTGCGGAGACACATGACCTACGCTAGGCTTTGAGACGAGGCTGATTCTCCTTTTCTGTACATGAACTGTGAAAGCACAAAATCCTGGGTCAGATGTTAGTGAAAGTGGGAACAGCAACTCTCCTGTGACACCCACTTCGTCATTTCTTTTCTTTTTTCTTTTTTTTTTGAGACAGAGTCTTGTTCTGTCATCCAGGAGGGAATGCAGTGGTGTGATCTTGGCTCACTGCAACCTCTACCTCCCAAGGTTCAGGTGATTCTCCTGCTTCAGCCTCCCGAGTAGTTGCGACTACAGGTGGGCACCCCTATGCCTGGCTAATTTTTTTTTTTTTGAGACAGAGTCTTGCACTGTCTCCCGAGCTGGAGTGCAGTGGCGCAATCTCGGCTCACTGCAACCCCGTCTCCCAGGTTCAAGTGATTCTCCTGCCTCAGCCTCCTGAGTAGCTGGGATTATAGGTGCCTGCCACCATGCCCGGCTCATTTTTTGTATTTTTTTAGTAGAGATGAAGTTTCACTATGCCGGCCAGGCTGGTCTCGAACTCCTGACCTCATAATCCGTCCGTCTCAGCCTCCCAAATTTCTGGGATTACAAGCGTGAGCCACCACACCCGGCCAATTTTTGTATTTTTAGTAGAGATGGGGTTTCACCATGTTGGCCAGGCTGATCTTGAACTCCTGGCCTCAGGTGATCCATCTACCTTGGCCTCCCAAAGTGCTGAGATTACCAGCATTAGCCACCGTGACCAGGCCCGGTTCATCATTTCTGACATTTCCCCTGTGGGCATCTAATGTCTTCCTTTCTGGTGTGACTCAAATTAGCAGGGATTCCAGCCTCTCTGGGTAGCTGTCACGGTTTGGGCTTCCACAGCATCCTGTGCCTCCTCACCTAACAGAATTTATCTCAGCACATCAGCATTTCATCTTTACTTCTTCTCTTATCTGTGAGCTAAAGGCAGGGACCATTATTTATTTGACTTTTTAACCTCCGCCGCCGAGCTCACTGTTGGCATTTAATACATGTTTGTTGAATGACTGACTTAGAAAATACTCTAAATCAAATATTCAATTCTCTAGAATATATAAGGTTTTTCTCATGTTCTGAGTCAATAGTCTGGTTGTTTTTCTTCATCCCCAAACCCTTGGGTTTGGCTTGCAGGAAGTTAAAGGAAGAAAAAAATTAAATGGATGAAATTTGAAGTTCCACAAATTAAGAGTTTGTACCAGTTTCAGTTTCATGGTTCAGGTTAAATGCCTTCCTCTAAGGGCCTGTATTCCCTCAAAACTCCCAGAAGCCACCTGGAGTCTTGGCCCTGGGGAAGACCAAAGCCGGGACATATTGAAAACAGAGGTTCCAACAGACCACCGCAGCTGGCGAGAAGCCAAACGCATGCAAACCCGAGACGGAGTTTTAAAGGGCCATTGAAATTAATTCCCTTGAAGAGGAATGAAAACCAGATGCCTCCCCCTAGGAAACGAGAGCGAAGGACAATAGCAGAAGAGGTAGCGAGAAAAGTGCTCTGAGCTTCACAGGCGATGCTTACCCACCGTTAACCCCAACAAACTGAAGGTTCTTTTTGGTCCCATTACCTCCTGCACGGAAGCCATAGTCTTTCTTTTTCATTATGGATTTAATGCTGGTCGACGGGGAGATCTCTAGGCAGACACAACATCACAGGTTAGAGTGATCTTGGGGATGGCTGGGAATGTAGCAAAACCAGGATATTGTTTTTGAGGGGACACGGGCTGCAGGTGTGTGGAGAGGTAAGGAGGGACAGGGAACCAGATCATGTAAACTGATGTTTTGGGGACCTCCTGGGGGAGCCTTGCTTTCTGCTCAATGCCGGGAGAACTGTCTCTGTTAATAATACCCCTCTAGGTGTGGTTGAAGAACCATGTGGGGTAGGTGCCATTGCTGTCCCTGTCTTACAGCTGGGAGATCTGAGGCCCAGACTTGCTCAGTGAATGGCAGTGCAGGAGTAGAACTGAGGCCTCAGAACTCGTGGTCCAGCCCCCACTTCTGCTCAAGGGCACCTCAGTGGTCCTTCCTGGCTCGCAAGTGTATGTTGACGCTAGGGTTGTGGGGGTGGTGATGACACCGGGCTCACAGCATACACACGAGCAAGGACACAGATCTTGCATGTGCACAACAGGATAGGAGGCGGTTCCCAAAGGGCAAGACTAGAACTGGTGCTGAAACACTGAGAAAGCAGCCGAACTGTGATTTGTGGCAGGAAGCGGTCTCGCATGCCTGGCAAAGCAAAATGTGGTTCCACTTTACCCAGCAGTGAAGAGGGTTTGATCTGTTGCAAGAGGAAGTGCTGCTCAGCCAAAGGGCCCATTTCCATATGTGAGCAGCACTCCGCCGCCTGCCCCTGTACACACACACAGGCACGTACACGTACACACATGTATACACACACACACACACACACACACACACACACGCTGAGAAAATATTCAGTGAACTATACCAGATAGCAATATAATGTTCCTCCAAAACCAGGCTAGAAAAAACCTCTACTGTGTAAGAACCAGAGAGAAACACAGAATGCAAAAGAAACAATGAAGGGAGGCCGAGGTTTGGAGCCCACTCAGCAGGGCCAGTCTTGACCCCACGCACTGCCTTTGTACAGTGCACCATGAAAACAGCCCCTCTGGGTGAATGCAGTGCTGCAGCGCAAGGCTTGGCAAATGGAGTGTGGGCTGGATTTCAACTCCCATTTGCCCTCCCTAGCTGGCATCTTTGTGCCTCTTGCTATCCATATAGCTGTAGGCAGTGGCCCTGCAGTCATACCCAACCTTAGAGCAAAGGTAAGAGTAGAGGTCCTGAGCCTCCACTGCCACACACATCAGTTTTTATTCCACTGGGTTCCCGGAGGCGCTAAACTTTTTTTTTTTTTTTTTTTTTTTTTTGAGATGGAATCTTGCCCTGTTGCCCAGGCTGGAGTGCAGTGATGCAATCTTGGCTCACTGCAGCCTCCACCTCCAGGGTTCAAGTGATTCTCCTGCCTCAGCCTCCCAAGTAGCTGGGATTACAGGCGCCCACCACCACAGCCAGCTAATTTTTGTATTTTTAGTAGAGATGGGGTTTCACTATGTTAACCAGGCTGGCCTTGAACTCCTGACCTCAGGTGATCTGCCCACCTCAGCTTCCCAAAGTGCTGGGATTACAGGTGTGAGCCACTGTGCCCGGCTGCTAAAATCTTTTTTAAAATACATTCATGTCATTGAAAACCTTGTTCCCTCTGCCTTATTATGTGAAACAGAAATGGTTCCCTGTCTCAGGCCCCTGTGTTGGCTGTATTTACCCATCGGCGGGGAGGAGGCAGAGGCCGGGGGCTCCTTGGGTGGGGGAGCCTGGGCCAAGTAGGCTGACAGCAGCAGGTTGAGGGAACTCAACAGCTGGCTCTGGATGCTGCTGAGCTTGGAGGCCGGCTGCTTGATGGCACTGGCCAGCTCAGGGTACCCGTGCTCCAGGCAGTTCCACTGCTCCTGTAGGAGCTCCTGGATCTTCTTCACGTACTGCCCAATAGTGGCATCCGTTGGCGAGCTCGGTGGCCTTCCCGAGTGCTCCTTCCCTGGGAGCTCAGAACTGGCCTCTTCCCTCCCTGCTGGGGGAGTCTTTCTGTCGCTGCCCCACGGAGAGCCCCCTGCTCCCCCCGCTTCTCCCTGAGGGCCTCCTTCCTGCTCAGAGTCTGCTTCCTCAATCCTGAGTTCAGTGGAGAGGAAGCTATGTACAGAAGGGGTGAGGACCTGCTCGGGTCCCTGTGGCAGTGACAGTGGGGGTGGAAGCCCATGTCCTGCTGGGCTCTGGTCCCCTTGTTTGTGACCGCCTGGCCCCCATAGGAGGCCATTCTCCTCTCCTCGGTGCCCCCAGCTTTCAGACTCCATGCTGCCTAGAAGGTTGACCTCAATGCTCTTGTCACACGACTCCCTGGTCAAGAGTCCATGAACAGGGTCAGTGTTCACCATGGCGTCCGCCTGGCCCGGAGCATCTTTGACGTTCTCTTGGGGAAGCTGTCCTTCCAGCTGGGCTATGGTGCACTCCAGCTCTCGAATTCTTTGCTCCCTAGCCCTGATTTCCTCTTCCTGCTGCTGGAGGGCAGCTCTGACCTGTGCCAGTTCCTCAGTTCTCCCAGACAACTCTCCCTCCAGGGCCGAGACCTGCTGTTTCAGGATGGAGACGCTGCCCGGATCCACTCTGGCAAGGCCCAGGCTTTCCTCCGTTACCCTGATGCCAATGCTTCTCACGTCCACCTCCACAGGCGGCGGAGGTGGAATCTCGCTGATGTTGAGCTCGATCTCTTCCAGGAGGAGCTCATTCTCAGGGATGGGTGATGGCAGAGGCGGAGGACTTGGTGTGGGGGAGCCAGGGGTGAACACCCGCTCTGCGTCTCTGGATTTGTGTTCATCTTCCTCATCCTCTAGTACTACAAGTGCATTCTGGAATGAGGAAGAAGGGCCTGGGAGAGGGAGGTGATTTGGAGCCTTCACCATGCCCTCCGCTCCCTTCTGGACCAGCTCTGGAATCCGAGTTGGTGCTTGTGGGCTGGAGCTCTGGAAACCTGCCAATCCTTCTGTGGGGCCAAAGGTGCCATTGCAGACACTGCCTTCACCCTGAAGGGGTGGGAGGGGAGGAGGGGCGGGGACCCCCAGGCTAAGGCCTGGCTCCTCAGAAGCCCTGCTGTGCAGCAGCGTGGCGGGCATGCTGGAGGCTCTCAACAGCTGGGGCCGTCCACTCCCAGGGGTGAGATCGGCGTCCTCTGGTTCAGCAGCCTCCAACTGCCTGGTGGCCTCTGCCAACAGGGCCCGCCTGTGGTAGCTCACCTCACTCGTACTGGGTGAGGCCTGGGGGGCATTACCAAGCGGCAGTGACTGGGTTTGTTCCTGTGTCCCACACGATGCCTTCATTGGCACCACTGGGGACCAGTTGTGGGGGGGCGGGGCCGCAGAAGGGCGAGCCCCGCTGTCAGGAAGGCTGAAGTTTCGGGGCAAAGTGCTAAACTTGGCCTGCTTGGCCCTTCTGTGGATAGGAATTCTTTTGATGGTGTTTCCCTTCTCGATGTCATCCACATACTTGAGGAAGTCCAGGTCTAAATGAAAACCATACGGGGTCTCCACAGAGTAAGGGTGGCTCTTCGGAGGCTCTTTCTCTTCGTCCCCCTGAGAGGACTGGTCTTTGGCTGGGAGACATAAGACAAGTTAAAAAAAAAAGAAAAAAGCACAAAGTTAATTAAGAATTACAGGGCGATGAGGCCTAATATCTCTGATTTTAACTTAACATTACCACAAAACTTCTCCTAAATGTTCTGGCTTCTAAATTATGCTGAGATGCTCAGTCTTTTCAGCTGTATTGGGAAATCATCTTATTAAATCAATGTGTACTTAGCCAATGTCTGCAAGGAAACAGGGAGAGGGAATGGTTTCCAATTTGCAGTATGTCATCTCGGTTACTACTGGGGAATCTGTCTGCAGACCGGCAAAGCAAAATGGTCTCATACTGCTTTTCTGGGTTTGAATCGTCTAATTGCTGAACCGGAGTGGCCAGGCATTTGCCAGATCGGGGTACTAACTGGCAATTATGGATATGGAAGGTTTTAAAGGATGAGATACACAAGTGGATGAGCAGTAAAAAAGAAATCTGCAAAAAAAAACTAACTTGCATGACTCAAATTGGTAGTAGTAAATCCCGCTGAAGCCGGAAGTATCAGTGAGTTATGCCTTTTACATTATTTAAGCTTGTGCAGATGCCTGCACCTCAGGTATACACAGATCAGAGAGAACTGGGGCAAGTAATCAGACCTGGCCTACGCTCTTTGCATCTGAAAACTTGCCTAGTGCTTAGCAAACATGAAATCCACTTTCAAAAACCCGTGCCAAGTAAGAAAATACCTCTTTTGGCCAGGAACTCAATGAAAAAAGAGAGAAACAAACAAAAATACTGTATTTTTTCACAGACTGGATAAAAGGTGGTAAGGTAAAAGGGCTAACTGATGTCAAAAGGGACATTGGTATTCATCCTCCAAGAAGAATGGAACTTGACTTTTCAGGAAAACCCATACCCTGGGAGGCCATCATGATGAGAAAGTTCTCCATCACACCAAGGTTCCAGCTCTGGCAGTGTCTACCTGTTGACTCCAACAGAGGACACTGGGAACAAGTCAGTCCTTTGACTATTTGCATCCATAGGGGCTTGTTGCCAAGTAACCTCTTCTTCAGGTTAGTCTTTGTTTCTTCGATGATCCTCATGTGACACCCTAATGACCTCTGTGACATTCTGCTAAACAGGCTCTGAAATATTGAGCTGAGGGGAGAACACGAATGAAGAGAACAGAGGTTCTGAATGCAGATTCTGGATCTGGTTTAGATCTCTGCTGTGTGATCTTGGGGAAATTACTTAGCCTTCCTGTGTCTCATCATATGTAAAGTGGGAATCATAATAAGTAAAATAAGATTATTGTGAGAACTAGTTAATTCATAATAAAGTGCTTGGCACAATGCCTCACACATGATAAATATTCAGTTTATCTTTGCGGAAGCCCAAAATATAGACAACGGAAGCCCCACAATGGAAACTGACTTATATGACTCACTGCTGGGTCTCCACAAACATGTTGTAACTGGCTGATTGCTTGGTTTTAAGGGTAGTAGGCCCTGGGTTCAAAATGACAAAATAGCTGTGATTCAATTCACTTACCTCAATCATCCATTTATTGAGCACCTATGTGCTAAGCTAGATCCCAAGGACACCAAAATGAGTCAGGTTTAGACTCTGCCTTCACAGGATTTGTGGTGAAGCAGGAGAGACACGAACAAATACAACGCAGGGAGGTAAGGATAGTAACAGATGCATGCGCTTGGTACAGGCTTCTTCCCTGACTTATTTTGCTAATTCCTCCAGAATTATTTTCTTGGACTTGGAAAACAATTTTTCCTAGGTAGGAGAGGGATGACTTCACACAAAAGTGACACACAACTGGGTGATAAATGAACAAACAGGGACTTGACAGGCAAACAAGAGAGTGAAAAACATTGTGCCAATTTATCTTCAAGATGACCACCACCAATTCCTACCCAGTTTGGACAAGCAAGCTAATGTTATATTTAAAGCTGGAGTCTGGAGTCTACATTTCCAGGCCTTTGAATCTGGGCTGGCCTGGGACTGCTTTAAGCAAAAGAATATGGCAGATGCTCAGAGATCCTGAAGGCTAGGTCATAAGATGCCCCATAGCTTTCTCCTGGGTCTCTTAGAATGCACACTCATTGGGAAGCCAGCTGCCATGTAAGAAGTCCACCTTCTCTGAGACTGCCATGCTGTGAGGAAGCCCAAACACCCCGAGAGGTCAAGCGGAGAGAGGGAAGGAAATGCCTAACCAGCCCCAAGCAGTTCTAGTCATCCTAGCCTGGATGCCACGCACGAGTAAAAAGTCCTCAGCCATCATCTGACTTCAGCTACAGGAGGGACCCCGAGTGAGAATCGCTGAACTGAGCCTGGGTTAATAATAAATTATTGTGTTAAGCCATCAAGTTTTGGGATGGTTTGTTACGCAGCAATAGACAGCCAAGACAGACATTCTAGCTCTCCACAGAGAATGTGCAAAGGGATAGACGGTGAAATTACAAAGTATTTCAAAGCTCTATAATTGCAGCTGATATGGCCAGTACTTAAAACATGATAGAGAGAGATAAGATTGGAAAGGAAAGTAACAGCTAGATCATAGAACAGCTGGTATGCACGCTAACAAGCTTTGACTTTACTCTCTCGGTCATGGGAGTCACGGAAGGGTTTTAAACAAGGGAGTGACTTGGTTGAATGTGATTTCAAAAAAAGCATCTTGCCGAGGATTCAGAAAAAGGCAAACCAGAGGCCCCAAGATCAGCTGGGAGGCAGCTGACATGGTCAAGGTGGGAGGAGCTCAAGGTAATGGAGGGAAAGGGACAGGTTAGGCAAAGTGGCAAATGATGGCATTTCCTGGTGCACATTTTCAGATGGCTTTTTCCTAAGCTGGCTCACTCAGTGGGAAGCCAGCTACCATGTAAGAAGTCCGCCTTCTAGGATGGCTGGAACTACTTGGGGCTGGCTAGGCATTTCCTTCCCTCCCTCTACTTGACCCCTCTATGGGGCTATTTGGGCTTCCTCATAGCATGGCAGTCTGCAATGACAGATTGGGGCTGAGCTCTCCCTACTTGCCTGCCTTATCTCTCTTTCTTCTGCCTGATGCCACATGCTTGCCACGTGGCCCTCTGTGCTTAGGGAAGTGCAGTTATCTCCAAAGAATGAAATGACACCAACTAGACACAAAAAGGCTGAACCATGAACATGAACACCATTGAGTCCAGCACCCATCAAAGCCAAGTAAAGCCACAGGCCTGCAGGCAGTTATGTCACAACTGCAGGGAAGAAGAGAACAAGCATTCATGCTGACCCACAGGATGCTCTCTGTCGGTTTCCAGAGCTTCTCTGGCAGATACCTGGACTTCCGGCAGAAAAGGAATAAATGTTCCTCTGGTACCCAAACGACTCCAAATAAGCTCCCATTCAAGCACACAATTTTTTTTTTTTTTTTTTTTTTTTTTTTTGTTTTTTTTTTTTTTTTTTTTTTTTTGGGACGGCGTTTCACTCTTGTTACCCAGACTGGAGTGCAATGGCGCGATCTCGGCTCACCGCAACCTCCGCCTCCTGGGTTCAGGCAATTCTCCTGCCTCAGCCTCCTGAGTAGCTGGGATTACAGGCATGCACCACCATGCCCAGCTAATTTTTTGTATTTTAGTAGAGACAGGGTTTCACCATGTTGACCAGGATGGTCTCGATCTCTTGACTTCGTGATCCACCCGCCTCGGCCTCCCAAAGTGCTGGGATTACAGGCTTGAGCCACCGCGCCCGGCCAACCACACAATTTTTTTAACCAACTTGCTCCCCCGACCCTTCCATCTCCCTCCAGAGAAACACACTGGCAGTTTCATTAAATGAGAGCAATATCTTGTATTGCTCTCTGTTAGTTTTCTAAGTTGTGCTTGGCTATACTCTCAGATCTACTGGTCCACTCAACAGCCCCCTGGGTTATAAGGACAGGCCAAACAGAGAAGAGATATTTATCTAAAGTTAAGTAGAGAGCAGATTTATGACCTAGAAGGCAAAGAGCTCTCCTAAAGGAGAGGCTGCATTATTTATCTGCTTATTGCCTCAATTCACTAGAAATGCACCGATTTGTCCAATGGCCCCTGGGCGCAGGTCCAGAGCACAAATACAATCATAGCATCAAATAAGAAACAGCAGATTCAAAGGCAGAATTTTCCGCAAGGGAGAGGAGGGCAAGTGAGGCTGAGCAGCCACCAACGATGACAGGTTTAATAGCAGGTTTAATAGGTGCTTTCCCAAGCTAGTGCGTGCACATGTGCGCGCGCGCGCACACACACACACGGTGATCCATCATGCTGCCCTGCCTGCCACCTGCCACTCTGCATTCCTTCTCCTTCTCCCAGCACAAGAGGAATGCTGGGCTTTGATGAGGGAGTTGGAACTGATTTGCTGAGAGACCACGCTCACATGCAGCTCTGCTCCTATTCAACCTACCTGGTGACAGGTGTGAGGGAGCTCAGAATTCCAGGCATTGGGCCAGGGTGAGAATCAGTTGGGAGGACCTGTCTCTGTTTAAAATGAAATTCAGATCAAATAAACCAACGCATGGCCAAACCGGCTGCATTTGAATCCTGGCTATCACCTCCTACTTGGGTGATTCTGGGTGAATTGTTTCATTTCCCTCTGCCTCACCTTCTCCATTTGTAAAGTGGAGATAATAACACCTAACTTACAGAGTTGTCATTATCAGCACGAATGCACTGGAGAACACGGCCCCGAGCAGGCACTCAATGAAGGACCCCAGTGGCAAGTGTGGGCTGGTCCCGAGTGCGGCAGGGGAGGATTCACCGAGCACGTGCTGTCTCCTGTGTTAGAACTACAGCTCAAGAGGGAACGAGAGTCCAGGAAAATAATTCTGGAGAAAGTGTGAAAATGAGTCTGGGAAGAAGAAAAAAGAAAGACAGAGGAGGCTCGGGACTACCTGCAATTCCCTACAGAGTCTTGCTTAAAAGCACGCCAGATCACTAGACGCTTGTATAGGCCCTACAAACACCGTTCCAGAGTTATACACAGACAGGAGAAAGGGGGTCTTCAAGGGGATAAAGTAATGAGGGAGAATCATGGTAATTATCTGAAGAGACAAGCGAAGTAAAGCAGATGCGTGAACCAACAAGAGCCATTTAAAGTGAGAAAGAGAGGTTCAAAAGCCTATATTCAGTCTCTGAAGTAAAGGGAAAAACAGAAACTGGAGAGAAAGTGGCTGAAAATAAAGCCAGAGAGAAGGCAAGTGAAATGAAACTCTTCCAAAGGCCAAGACAGGGAGGGATGCCTTCCCCTCTGGGAAAGTTGTCCCTATTCTGGAAGATCCATGTGGCTGAAAGGAAGGAGCCTTTCTTGAGCTCATATTGGCGATCACGTGGACAGCAGTCCTCCCCAGGGAGCTGAGCAGGGACTGAGAGGCAGCTGGGGTGACAGGCCCCCAGGGCAATGAGGGGTTAAACCAGTATTCTGTGGGACCACTGCCAGGGATGCACCGAAAAGGCAGCTTTCTGGGGAGACAGGCAACTATTGAAATATATGGGAACTGCATTTGGAAGAAAAGAAGAGGCAGGGCGAGAGCTGACGTCAGGTCCCTAAGTCCTTGTGCTGGTGAAGCGCCATGTGATTCAAGGGGAATTAGAGGCGCTCTGCTTCCTGATATTTGCTGATCTAGAAAAAACATTTCATGGCCAGGCACGGTGGCTCACACCTGTAATTCCAGCACTTTGGGAGGCCGAGGTGGGTGGATCACAAGGTCAGGGGTTCGAGACCAGACTGACCAATATGGTGAAACCCCATCCCTACTAAAAATACAAAAATTAACCGGGTATGGTGGTGGGCACCTGTAGTCCCAGCTACTCAGGAGGCTGAGGCAGGAGAATTGCTTGAATCTGGGAGGCGGAGGTTGCAGTGAGCCAAGATTGCGCTACTGCACTCCAGCCTGGGCGACAACAGAGTGAGACTCCATCTCAAAACAAAAAAAGAAAAAAACATTTCATTAGAAGTCAGGAGATCGGGGTCTAGACTGTGGCCTTCAGCAAGTTTCCTGGGATAGGAAGGGGGAACATTCAGACATTCATTGTGCTTGGTAGTTGCTACTCAACAACTTCCCATGCATTATGTCATTTAGTTCTTTCTTTTTTTTTTTTTTTTTT